ACCCTCCTAAAGTGCTTGGAGGGAGGGAGAGAAGCAGGTAAATGTGGGGCTCCAGTGTACCCCGATATACGAGAGGTGGGGGAAGAGACAGACAGGGGTCTGCAGGTCACAGGTGCCCGTGAGCCGCAGGTTGCCCACCACTGCTATGATTGCTGCTGATGGAGAAAACAGTAGATGAAATTGCATCCTTGGATATGTGTGTGCAGGTTCTATTGAATTCAATGAGCATTGTATGCAAATAACAAAGGATTTGGCCAAAGAGTTCAGAATGTCTGAATAATAATGGCAACTTTCCTCCCTCAATGCCTCAAATTATCTGAGCTGCTGGGAGGAGATTCCACCCACTGTCACACAATAGACTGTGACTTTGACAGAATCATCATAAAAGCGGTTTGCATTTAGTTTTAAAAACAACAGACAAAGTCAGACATATGGAAACCACAGATCACAGTGAACTGGACTCTGGAATCATGTAAGCAAAAAGTGCCTAATGTGAAATAGCATAATGATCTCTAAGCAGCCATCGGTTTCTCCTTTTATTTCCCTTCTCATTAGTTCGTAATAGGTTAAATTTTAGCTTCATCAGGAGGAATGTAATGCTGTTATAATACATTACTGAAATCCAATGAAGACATTTTATGGTTAAGAATATGAACGAAACCAATGTATTTTCAAGAACATCACATAACCTGACTTTGTACAAGCTTTTTTAATTTTATGTACAATTTCTAGGACACCAATCCCAGTTATTAATAAAATATTTTCCTGTGATTTAGAAGAAGCTAAAATAATCCAATCCAGCAAACATTTGTACACATGTTTAACTTTACACATGACTTCAACAGGATAACTCCATACGTGTAACATGAAGCACATGCACGGGCATTTGAAGGATCAGGGCCATAATTAACACAGGACTGTATGCTTTTATTCTATCAGAGAAATAAAATTTTACAGAAGAGAGAATTTTAACAGATAATGAACTTTACAAGGTATTTCTGCATTGTCACGGAGCCCAATAACTTCACTGAGGCTTTGTCTACGCTTAAAAGTTTAAGCACAGCCATGGCAGTGCTTTAAACTGAAATTGTGGCCACTGCATGGGTACTGGGAGAGAGCTCTCCCCAGTTATATGTAAACCACCTCCACAAGGGGAGCAGCTAACAGTGCTTCACGTGGGCACTTCACAGTGCTGTAACCTGCTGCCCTTGGGGGAGGGAAATTCACGCCCCAAGCCAAAAAGTTAGTGCTGTAAAGTGCCAGTGTAGACTTAGCCAAACTGAACGTTCTATCACCCTCAGCGCATTGAAGAACTGACTGCAACAATGTTATGGCAAATTAAGGATAATACAGAACACTAAACCAAAAGTAAAGTCATTCAGACTTACAATTTATCTAGTAGGGAAGCCAACTATCATTCTTTAGCTACAACCAGCAAAACCTACCTAAAAAGGAAATTAACCAGAGAGATAGTGATGAAACTAACTAAACAGAAAGTGTTGTCAAATGCAGAGAGCAAATATATTGAAAAAACCCCTCCAAAACTATCTTCTTGTTTTCTAATCTGTTTCAGTTATAGTAAATTTGCAAAAATAGCAGACCGAAATGATCAGATACAAATATGATTTTTCAGTTGATAATACTGTTTTAATGGCAATAATTTTCTCTATAGTAATATTTGAATTCAACAGCCTGTGTACTTTAGCCAAAAAATCCATATATGATTTATTCTCCTTTTTACTAGACTTTATCTATGTTGTCATAACGCATCATGTATAATTATATCATTGTATAACTTAAGCAAAGTGCTTAAAGGAGCAATTAGTAGTTTATGCTAAACTTAGAAATTGTATGTGTGGAGAGAGTCACGTGGCTAGTTTGTTCTTAAGGCTACAAAGCATTCAGTTTTCAAAGACAGGTGAACCAAATCCTTTGAAACATTTCTTTAATCTAGCTATATAATTTATTCCAAATAAGAATGTACATTACACTACCATGTTAAGCAGATAGTAGTATGCTATGTATTTTTCCCTCCGTTAAATATGCAATAGTGGTAGACAAACTTAACGGGCTTATGGTTTGGTCGATCATTTCCACTGTCATTTATCTTGGCTTTTGTTTCATTTCTTCTCTTCCACACAACTTCCTTGCCTCTAGGCTTGCCTGCATATGATCCTGTAGAATATTAGTTACTTGTAGACTTGCTATGTCTACAATTAGAGGATGCACTCTACCAGGTCTCTGACACCAGCCAACCACCATATGGATTTTTATAGTCAGCCCTAACTGATTTTACAAAAAGAAGCAAGTACACCTTCCTCTCTAATCTCACTCCAGGACCTCTAGGTATTAACTGGGTACCACTAGAAGTCTGAAGATGCAATCTGGGAAGGAACAGAAAAAGTGTTTTCTTTTATATTTTATTCATCACTCAAACTCCTGTAGACTAATGGCTAAAGAGGAATGGAATTTAGGCATAAAAATAGATTCACCTTCACTGAGGTCCTGTGCAGGGAAGTACTTATGTATGTGCTTAACTTTATGTACTTGAATAGTTCCTCACTTAAACTCATTGAAATCAGTGGAAGAGGCCTATTTAAAGACCATTTGCAATCTGATCTCGATAGTATTAGTTCAAAATATGCTAGTATAAATAACTCACATGAATCTCAATAGATAAAAGAAGATTCAAAAATAGGAAAGATTTCTATTTCAGTATTGAGAAACACAGAATTCAGCTATGTATTGATACTCTCATGTATTGAAAACAGATGCTATTTAAAGATACTATTAACCAATTTATGTCATTTTGAAAAGAAATAAATCCAAAGACGAACAGATGTAAAAGCAAGCACATCATTTTGGCTTTGAAATAGCTTCTAGACAGCTGCAGAGAACATATGTTATATTTGGTAAGATGTTAAGGTCTGTTTTAAAGGAGAAACAAATATATGGCACTAGGCAAATTATTCCACAGATCTGCAATTAAACTTTTATTTTGTCACTTTCTAAATATAGCTATACCAGTAAAATTATATTAACAGTTTGTGAACATATTTCCTGCATAAAATACTGATTTTACTAATTTGTTTTCTTTTTTAATCTCTCTTCCCATTAAGGTAACACCTTAAATTGGTAGCTGGCTTGAAATCTAGTACCAAATATGTAAAAAATTACTTAAGTTTACTTTATATAAATAAGAAATTAATCAAACAAATCTTTAAATATATGGAACATTTATGCAGTTGGCAAAAATTGATTCCATGAAGGGCTTTAAAGTGATTAAAATTAATTGCTCTTAATCATGCAAGTAAAATTAATTGTGATTAATTGTGAGATTAAACAATAGAATATCATTTATTTAAATATTTATGGATGTTTTCACATTTTCAAATACATTTATTTCAATTAAATTAAAAAAGTACAAAGTGTACAGTGTTCACTTTATTTTTGCTTACAAATATTTGCACCTGTAAAAAACAAAAGATACATGAACATTAGCACAAAAGTTGAACTTGCAAATGTAGAACAATGTACAAAAAATAGCTGCATTCAAAAATAAAACAATGTAAAACTTTAGCACCTCCCAGTCCATTCAGTCCTACCTCCTGTTCACTCAGACACACAAGTTTGTTTACATTGCAGGAGATAATGTGGCTTGCTTCTTGTTGCAAATGTCACATGAAGTATGCCTGTTTACACTTCAAGCACAATTCCAGAGGACATGCATCCATGCTGATGATAGGTTTTGCTCAATAATGATCCCAAACAGTGCAAAGCGACATGTACATTTTCATCATGCGAGTCAGATGCCACCAACAGAAGTTTGAGGGTTTGGGTTTTTTTTTGTGGTTCAGGTTTTGTATTTTCTGCATTAAAGTGTTGCTCTTTTTAGACTTTTGACAGCATGCTCTACACCTTATCCTTCTTCAATAAGGAACAGGTGACAAATAATACTCCACCAAGGAGTTCACTCACAAATTTAATTAATGCTTTTTTAAAAAAAGAGTCATCAGCATGGAAACATGTTCTCTGGAATGGTGGGCGAAGCATGAAATGGCATATGAATGGTTAGCATATCTGGCATATGCTTGCTTTCAGGTGACATTGCAAATAAGAAGTAGAAACATTATCTCCTGTAAATGTAAACAAATTTGCTTTGAGATTGGTTGAACAAGAAGTAGGACAGAATAGACTTGTAGGCTATAAAATTTTACATTGTTTTGTTTCTGAGAGCATTTACATAGCAAAAAAAATCTTCACTTCTAAATTGCATTTCGTTATAAAAATACTGCACTACAGTATTTGTATGAGGTGAACTGAAAAATACTGTTTTTGTTTATCATTCTTACAGTGCAAATATTAATGTTAAAAACAACCAAGAAAGCAGTGTACATTTATATTTTGTGTAGGGATGTAATAGTGTAGTCGATCAACCGATTAACCGATAAGCAAAAGCTTATAAGTTAATGCTATAGACTACATGCATTCTCCCCTCCCTCCCTACCACAACCAGTAAATTATTTAGCAGGCTGTCCGGCAGCCTGGCTCAGTCCTGGCTTGCAATGGATCCGGGACCTATCCCTGTTGCAGCTCTCCATTAGAAGTGTATTAGAAACTGGGTCCGGAAGCTCAGGCTCCACCCCAAGACAGGGGTTGCTGCCACCCTGCACTGTTGTCTCTTTACCAGAGGCAGCAGCCGCGCAGGGTGACAGGCAGCCAGTATGCAAGGGGAGCTGGTTTTTAATCTGGCTGCACTCACAGACCAGCTCCCGTCTGGCACCCCAAGGCAGAGACAACAGTGTAGAGTGGCAGAGGGCTCCTCAGGGTGACACTGGAGTGCACTAGCTGCTAGTCCCACCCCACCACTATAGAATAGTCGACTAATTGATAAGAATTAATGAGATTACTTGACTATTCAATTAACCAATATTTAATATCCCTAATTGTGTGTTGTAATTGAAATAATTTTATTCAGAAATTCAGGAACATATCCAAATATATTTAATCAATTTCAATAAAAAAATCAATGAACTTAGTACATATTAGTTAGGTGGTTTATTCTATTACATTATAGAGCGAAATGATTTGAAACATTCTCTCAATGCCACTCTAACCAGAGACTAACTGAAAATTAAATCCATTGTTTTAAAAAGTTATTAAATTGCTGGATTCTATCACTCGTGCAAAACTTGCCTTTGATTTTTAACACAGATGCACTGCCAAGCCTTTTATGATCATTCTAAGGGTCCCACATATATTGTACTGAGTGAGAAATCATATAGTATTAGATTCCTACTAAGATGGTTTCACATCTGCATCAGAGCCTGAAAGGATCTGAAACAGCTTCAGCTGCCTAAAATGTGAGTAACTATGATTTGAATATTAGGTTCCATGTTCCAAAGTTCAAATTAACCAATAAAGCTGAAATGTGGTCTAAGTTTATCTTATATTTGTAATTAAAATGCAATAATATTTTGTATATTAATTATAACATACTTTATATGTATGTTATAACAAACTAATGTACATGGGAGAAAGGTCATTCCAGATAATCCATGATCTATTATTATATTTTTTTCTAAGTCTTGCTGTGTTAACTCCAAATGATTTAAAGAAGAGATGGGCAAACATGTCTTGCCAATTGCTGTGAAAGGCTACAGTAGCAAATGATTTCTAAAAATTGCTGATTTTATTCTAAAATTTAAATTTTGGCTCCTTGTTTAGATTAAATAAAAAATTACACCTGTGTTTGGATAACACAGTAACATTTGGCTAACAAAAATTACATATAACTAATTTAATATTACTTCATTAAATAATAAGTAATGTTAATACAAACCTTCTCTTTATTATACATGTGCAAAAGAAGCCAAGTCTGTCTTGTCTTTTGAAACTTCCATTTATTGGGTTTTTTGGACCAGCTGTAACAAAATAAATGCGAAAATAATTGTTCAAATAGAATGCTGGATAATTAAAAATACACAGAAACTCACACAGCACTTTTACATAATGACTTAAAGTGCTTTATAAACGTTACATTAATTAAGCCTGATAATGTCCTTGTGACCTAAGTGTTAGAATATATATTGTACAGGTAACAAATATGAAGTACAGAAAAATTAAGTGGCTTATTTTGGGTGTATTGGGAGAACAAGCAGACAGGATCATTTTACATCATATTTGTAAAGTACATTGTGTTTTAAAAGCTTGCAGAACAAATGCACAGTGTCAGCAAACAGTCTCTGAATGCTTCATATAAAAAATTTAAATATGTAAACATTGAAATGAGCTTATGTCACTGATGTATGCAATTTGCATATAGTAAGACTGGAATTTTAAAGCTGGTATATTTTACTATAAATATGAAGAGGAGAATTAAAACCAGACTTGAGAAAATGGGCATTTCATCTAAAAACAACAGAATAAAGAGCAAGTAATAAATCTGACTCTAAAATGTATGGTGCTTTTTTACCTCTAAAATATAATATGCAAACATTTAATATCTTAATAGAAAACAGTACAAGTCAATGCACTGAGCAATTATTACAGATATAGCTCAATAACAGGAAAAATAAATTCTTGTAAACTAAAATTATTAGACTGAAGAAAAACAAGTCTCTAAAGATATAATGTAAGTCCATCTTTAATGTCCCATGTTATTTTACATAATAATATCGAGTACAGAAATCAATTGGAAAGCCAGTGGGGCAAAAGTATTAACTTTGTTCAAACACTGTCAAGTCTAATAGAGCAAAACAGCCCTCACATTAAATTTTTTCTGCACTGGCAAATCAATTGTTCAGTGAACTCTGTGAAACAGAAAGACCAAGTGATCACAAATTTGTCCAGGAGGGTTTCATGAGAGCATCTGTAGAAACATACAAGTGCACAAAATAAGCTCCCTTTTAACTTCAGAGGTTTCCAAACTCAGAAAGTGGGGAAGGGGAACCTGTAGTTTCTTTCAGAGTTCTCAATGGTAAATTAAATGGAAATCTGCCACAAAAAACAAAAGAAAAAGCAATGATAATAAAAATGTAAAAAAAAATGGTTAATAACCCAATGCACTATATTTTATACCACCAACTAAAGGTAAATTTGCAAATTAAGAAAGTCAATCCAGAACTCTACTACAGGATATTGCAGCTAAAGAATCAAACTATAAGAAAAAAATATTGCAGACAAACTGAAAAAGCAAGGAAATTGACAAGATAAGATCAAAAAATTACGGAATCAAATACAAAAATGAAAATTAAGAAACAAAAATGCTCAATCTTTTGTGTTGTTTATCCCCTCAGCAAGAGTGCCTGCTATAAAAAGAATGGCTAACATTTGTGAAGACTAGAATGGCTAACTTCAGATTTGTAGAGAATAGAAAATTAACAATAAACAAGGGAATAAAATTCAACATTTTCACTGGTACTTTGCTTGCATTTGCCTGAAACTTCTTTATTCATCCAAACACATGCACTGGCTGCAAAAGGGAAAACTGGCACTCATGCAAAAAATAGGCAGTTTTATAGCAATTGACTAACCAAAGTCTGTTCTTTAAAAATAAAAAAAACTGTGTGGTATATTCATGAAGTTGATGGAACCATGTTTGAGCCTACTACATTAGGCAACCACTTCAACTGTTCATTCTAATCTAGTCCACCTTTTGCACTATTATGGCCATGATCAAAGTAGACTGTCATGTAAAGAAATTGCATGATACATCAGTGATGTTCTTCCATGTATAGGTTACTGGCACATTCACGTTTTCTGAAAACAATTCTACATTTTTAACTAGTGCGCTTGGCTTGATCGTACTAGTTGCACTCATTCTCCCAGCTTTGTTGCATGTCTAACTCTGACCCCATTCTGAGCCAAAGAACCCATAATCATGGATACAGAGTTAATATAATTTTCATAATAGAATTTACGTGGCTGTTCCACATCATGAACTCCACCCCCAGTTCAACTCTTTTAGTATTACATAGCATAAATATTTCATTAATACAGATGGATGAATGAAGGGAAAAACTGATAAATGAGGAGAATATCACTACTGAGATCATTAAAATCTATAGTAAGTATCACTTTGTGAAATTCAGAGAGTGGGAAAACTCTATTAGAATTTGGTATTTATATCTTCATTATTATTTAGGTTCTCCATCCTTTAAAATACAAACAAGTTAAAACCTTTCAGTACAATGTAATACAACAAGTCACATGCAGATTATCCCAGTCACATGCAGAGATTTTTCTTAAAGGTCCTTCAAGTTTTCTTGACATATTACAGCATGAATGCAGCCTTTTTTCCTTGAGTGATTTAGTATCCAGTATAAATAAGATTAACTCCACTATGCTTCATAATAATTATTGTTCTATATATCGTTAAGGTTTATATCTTTTTTTCGAGCACAAGCTGGCTGAAAAAAATGTAGCTGACTGAAGTTTAATGGATCTTAAAATTCATGTTGCAACACAGCTTTAAAAGAGAAAAGAAGACACATAGGAAATGGAGTTCATCGTAGCTTGAATCAGACAGTCCCAAGACTTTCTTGGAGAATGATAGTCTCATGTGGGAGGCTTGCTCAAAACCTTCAAGACCCATCTACATTATAGTACAACCACGATTTTCAGTCAGTACATCAGGTCTCCTATGACCGTTATATGAAATACAGTTGAGTTGTATACAGCAATGCTTATTAGAACACAATCATGTATCATTGATACAAGAAATGCTGAGAAAATCTAGGCAGTTCTCTCATAGTACACACAGCAGGTCACTGACAACACGTAGGGACAACTCACTCTCGGGTGTCTTAGCATGCAGAGGCCTCAGAGTAAGGAAAACCAGTTCCACAGGCACAATCAGAGTGACCAAGCCACAGAGCAAAACAAAAGCGTTACAATCTGAATAATGGAAAGGCAATCACATGCTTAGTCTGCTGGGTAGGGCAGAGTACTCCAGGTTGAACCTCTCTAGTCCAGCAACATCCATGGTCCACCATGTAGTTAGCCAGATGGTTGTGGCCAAGTTTCCTGCAATCCCATAAAGTTTGTTTACAGCCACCAGTCCTGGCTTCAGTTTTCTGTGCTGTTATTTAGCTCTGATTTACCCCTAACTGTCCTCTAACAGTCCAGTAAGCAGTGGAAGTGTTGGTAATGCTGCAAGACAATATTGACGTGCCGTGGTTCAGCACCAGTCAGTTCCCAAGGATGCCAGATTAGAAGAGGACGGGAAGCTGGTGTGCGAAGTCGCTAGCTTGGCTCCAGCTCCACGGATGTCTTTTCATTCATCTCACACACACACACGCACAATGTACTGTGTGTGTGAAGTGTGATGAATGAAAAGACACCTGCGGCGCAGGGACTGTGCTAGCGACTTTGCATGCCAGTTTCCCTGGGCTTTACAATGCAGAGCTGCTGCTGTGTGAACACGTGTGTGTGTGTGTGTGAGACAGATATGAATGAAAAGACACCCATGGAGCAGGGACTGAGCTAGTGACTTTGTGGGCCAGCTTCCCCGGGCTTTACAATGCAGAACTGCAACTATGTGTGTGAGAGCACTGCAACTGCCAACCATTGGTGACTAATCGAATAGTTGACAGAAAATCTATCGACTATTCAATTAGGGAAGTAATCGCCTTTTAACATCCCTACTGACCATAAAGACACAGGATAAAATCCGGTGCACCCAGGAATACAGGGACAGGCTGAGATGGTTTTAAGCACTCTTCTAATAGATTTATCCTCAAGGACTATGAGGCCCTCAGAGACTACTGTGACAGAGGTCATAACTTATTAGAATAAAAAAAAGAAACAATCTCCCAAACTTGTTAAATAGAAGTTGAATGTAGTATTTGTTGACTTTCAAAATAGAAACTGAATTGATTTGTTGTATTGTTCTTTTAAACATACATACCCTTCTTGGTCTATTTCTACCAAAGAAGAGATTAGAAAAAAATTAAGGATGCAGTAAAACAAAATAAACTGCACAACTGAACAGCACATTTCTTATAATGAACAGCACAATTGAAATTCTGATGACCAAGATTTTTCAGACCCCATATGTCAATCTTTTTATCATTTAAAACTAATATTGTCTGCTTATCTTGTGGGATTTACTTTGACATTTTGCCTATTTTGTTTTGCCAAATCTGAGCTTTTCCAGCTGGTAGGGAGAACACAACCTGTCTGTTTAGAAGGCAAAGGAGTTGACCTAGTTAAGATCTTTATAAAAAAATATGTTTGCATTTGATTAAAAATACCTTCCTTAGTCAGACATTTGGCACTTCAAAGCAACTTGTTCAAACCAACAGTTTACAATACAGTACATAAATGATACCCAATCATTTGTACACTTTAGTTCCTATCTTATTGCATTCATTTGGGAGGAAGGTAGCATGTGTGTATTTCAAGACCAATTCAGCAAGTAAATTAGAGATACAGTTACTGCACCAATGGAATAGGCCAATGGGCCAGTCAAACCTCTCTGAAAGTCTGTAGCCAGACAGAAACCCCCCCTCCCACTCCGAAATCCTTGGGAGGGAGAATCCTTGGGAACGAAACTGTCTTCAAGGCTCCAGGACCTCCAGAGGTGCTGGAATAACTATGCCCTGGATGCTAGACAGAAACCAGATAACAGCGGCAGTTGGGCCAGCAGACGATCAGGGTCTCGGGCTGCCCTTGGCTGGTACCAGTAAATGATATGCCTACACACCGACCCAGAAGAGGAATCTGCCGCCCCATCAGGAAAAGAATGTCCGGCCCTAATGATTACCTCCACCTCACAGGTGCAATTTAAGCTTTGGCAACTCCCTGTGGGAACGGGCGTCACAAAGACGTTCCAACTTAATTGGCATTTTATGACAAGAGAAGCATCTACGTGACCACAGGGGTATAAAGTGGGGTCCTATGCCCCACTCTAATTGGAGAT